AGTGACAACTTTCCAATACAAAGCATTGGTGTGACCCAAAGTTACAGGTTAATCTAAGCCCCAACTTAATGAAGATCCGTTACCATAATGCAAGCCTATTTTTCAAACTTTCATCGTCCGTGGGATTTGAATCCTAGACCTTCTACTTGGAGAGGGTGATGACTTGACCACTTCACATTAAATTTAATTTGCACTTAAGAAGTATCTTGAATCCATATAATAATACTAAGTTCATTTAGTGCCACCTTTTTAGTAACTTGTTTTACTGATTATTTAAATATATTATTATTTTTATTTTTTTCTTGTGCTTTAAAATAATTATTATTAGCTTTAATTTTAGTTTTATTTTTTTGCCAGGCATTTTTTTTATGCCACTAGCATACCAAGATTTCGGTCTCAGAATATACTGCATGTATAGATTTTGTTGCACATTATTACGATTAAGAAAATATGTGGTTTCTATTCTTTATTTTAACTTTTAATAGCTTTAAGCCAATAAATTAAAGCTTCGCCTGATTTTTTTCATGTACAAGTAAAGTAAAAAGATTCGCTTTATGTGATGTTGTTCTATATATACCATCAATACAGACTGTTTGTGCACTTTCTAATTTTAACATATTTTTTTGAAATTCAGTTTGAAATCTGTATATAAAGCCTAAAGATGAACCCCAAATTAAATTACTACATGTATATGAACTATTCTCCTCTGATATTCTAATCCACTTATTAACAGATATATTTTCACTATACCGTTTGTTTTATTACCTAAAAATATTATATCTTTCATTTCCTTACTAATAATATTATGCACATCAATATAGGAGAGATATGCATCATGCTTTTGCGTTAAAGGTAAAAAATTTACATCCTCAGTTTCATTAAAATTGTTAACATGATTATGAAATATTGAAACAATTTGGGCTGATTTTATTCTATCTTTAGCTCTTGCACGAATCCACTCTTTTGCATGCTGAGATATTTGAAAATGCCGCAAATCTTTATCAGTACCTGGTGTGTGACTGCTGTGTTTTGTGTAATGAATAATATAAACTGCATCACTTTTTCATTACTATTTTTTAACACTCTTAAATATGACTTACAACTGACTTTTTTTGATAGTTTTTAAATGGGAAGAGGATGGCTATGATTTGAAAGAGGTTTAGTAGATCTCTCCATTGTACTAGCTGTTGATCGTGATTGCCCATAACAATGGCATACATATCTTTTATTTAACTCATATTTTAATCTCTTATGATTATCTTTTCGAAAGTAATAAGCTTCTGCAATATCTGTTAAGATATTCTCAATCCAATTTTTATATATTTCTATATTAAGATGTGTATATAGTTTTATAAAATTATTTTTATCTATATTATGTGTTTTATCTTCATCTACCTCTTGAAGTTCAGCATTATCACTTTCATCTGTCTCTTATAGTTCAGTCTCATTATTTAATAAATATGATATATTAGTTTCTAATGTATTAACTTCTATATTTTTCAATTTAAAACTTTTATTGGAAAAGGATTCAAAGTATGAATACTCATTAGTTAAAGATAATTGATTTTCATATTCATCTTGTAATCTAGACGCCTGTGTCCGATTAGTGTGTCCGATAATTTTATCCATTAGATTATTTAATTCTTTAGAAATTGTAATTAATATTTTTAGTGATCTTTACCAGGTGAGTATTTAGATATATTTATAAGTTTCAATTTATTATTATAAGATTTTTTATTTTACAGAATTGCTTTTTTTTTATTAAAATTTTATAAATAGCAGCATTTAAGAAACATATTAAATGATTCATTTAGATTATACTGATAAATATTTTTACCAAATTAATTCAAATATAGTTTTTCTTCTGCAAATTAAATACAGTATAACATATTTAAATTTATTATTAGATAAAGAATTTCTCACACATTTTACAAAGAATAACCGATTAGCTATTAATTATACAGTCAAACATTTTTAAATATATTCTAAATGACTAAACTACATTTGAAAAAGAATATTTATATAGGTAAGTATTCAGTATATATTTTAGCCAAAATTTAATAGTGTGTTTAGAAAGGTTTTATTATAATTATTACTTATTTTTATAAATACATAATGAAATGCTTATATTAAACCAAATTTTGATTTTTTAAATATTATTATTAAAAAATAGTTTAGTTTATTTCACTGACAATTATTTTGCTGGCACTTCATTTCATTGACAATCAATTCATCAACATTATTTTATCTAAGAATATTTCACTAGCAAGATAATTCTGGTTATTGTTATTAGGATCAGGTTTAGAATTAGAGTTAAGGTTGGTATATTTACAAAAGGCATTTGTTGGTAAATGAGTGTTGGTGAATTATACATAGCAAACTAATATAATTGCTAATAAAATAAACTTGTTGCTGAAATGAAGTATCAACAAAATAATTGTTGATAAAATGATATGAACGAATTAAACTATACAAGATTAACTTGAAAGTTTTTTAATAATTTTTTTGTATAAAATATTTAAAATATCAATCAATACATGATTATTTGATTATTGTAAATTTAATAAAAAAATAAATAACCATGTAATAATACCGTAGTTTTAATCTAATAAAACTTGTTATAAACTTTGTTGCATAAATATTATATATAACTTTGACATAATTAAGCATAAGGTATATAGTAAAATGACAATTTCAATAAACCTCTGGATAAAGTTTCTAAAAAATTGGATATGTTTAATATGCTTATATGTATATCAACATATATAGCATGGGCAGAGAAATTTTGGTTAATATAGATGTTTATGTAGCAATATTATTAAAACATGTTTTTGATAAATAAAAATTAAACTGTATTTATTTAAACTGTTTTAATTACTCTAATGATAATAAACTGTATTTATTTAAAATTATATATATTATTAATCATTCTAATATGTAACCATGTTTAATATTTAAATTTAAAAAATTTGGATGTGGATATATTAGTATATATATGTACATATTAAATACATTGTTATGTACTAATAATTATTAGGTATAACTTAATTTCGTGAAAGTATGTAGATATTAAATATACATAAACATATCAAATTGGGGAGATGATCATCACAAATTTAAATCGGATAGGGGAGTACATAGATGCACTTAACGATTGTAGTCTAATACTGAAAACCTATTATACAGAAAACCGAAAAGAGGACTTTATTTGATTATTTAGTGGTACTTATAACCTAAAAGTATAACAAAAACCTCAGGAAATACTTATCTTATTCCCCAACAAAGCCTGAAGCACCAAAAACTTGACTAAGTTTTTTCATGCCTCGATTGTTGACTTCAATATTTGGAGCCATGGCTTTGTCCCTTATTTAGGATTTTTAGTATTGTGTAGAAGATTTTAGCTATTGGTTTTATATTATTTTTCTCACTTTTACAATGCTTAATTTTTTGTAGAATTTTATTAATAAATCATATTCTCATTATTTAATTTGTAAATTTTAATGCTTCTCATGTTCAGTTTTTACCACTTTTTTTTCACTGAGCAGTTTCACATTTCTCCTTTTAAAAATTTTTTTGGAAAAGTCTAAAGCTAGATTTTAACTTTTAATAAATAACATAAAACCTTTAGTTTTTCATCTAATATCTATAGATCTAATAATTTATTATTTTTGAAATACTTAATGCTTTAAGATTAGTTGATAACTGTTAAAAATGGATTCAGATACCAATTTCAAAAAAATAAATAAGCATTTTAATTGGGAGTCTATAAGTAAGCCAGAGAGTATCATAGTAAAATATGACTCAGATTACTATATAAATTTACTATAGTGTGAATGTGTCTGCACGAATCTAAACCTTTTTTTAATACTAAGTTAATCACTTTTCTAACTTAAGAGACTTTTGTAAAGCTTGTCAAAACGCATCTAATTGTAGTTAGAATATCAAAATCGGCCTAGTAGGTGCTGAGATATCTTTAAAAAACCTTTCTTTTACTATGTAAATTTATTTGCAAATAATAGTATTTTTGCAAAGAAATTTACATAGTAAAAGAAAGTTTTTTAAAGATATCTCAGCACCCACCAGGCTGATTTTGACATTCTAACTACCATTAGATGCGTTTTGACAAGCTTTACAAAAATCTTTTAAGTTAGAAGGTGATTATCTTAGTATAAAAAAAAGTTTTAAATTCACACAGGCCACATTCACACTATAGTAAATTTATATAGTAATCAGAGTCACATTTTACTATAATATTCTCTGGCTTACTCATGGACTCCCAATTAAATTATTTTAATTTAATTAAATATGTAGACATTATATATTTCCATTATTTAATTTAAATACAAAGTTTAAATGAGTCTTTATAAGAATTTGTTTGTTCAATATTTATTTAAAAGTTAAAAAATTTTAGAAAATATTTTAAGAAAGAATTTAAAAGAAATAAAAACAAATAAAAACAAAAAGGATATAAAAGATACTTATCACCAAGAAATAAATCATTAAAACACAATTGATAAAAATTTGTAAAGAAATATTTTTCTTTGTAATATAATGACAATAAGATATTGTAAAAATTTACCAGGAACATTAGTGTATGGTTTTACTGGCATTTAAAATGAAGGCAAAATCTTAAAGCTGATTGGTGCATATTTTTTCTCATGATTATTACCTGTTATATGTAACTATTGCAATATAATTGTCAAATTTGGGATCGTCTAAAGCCAAATATATAGTCAACATGTGATTTTGAATTTATAAATCTGTTATAATTAATTTAAAAAAACTACGACCTCCAAATTTGTGACTATTGCAACATTCAATCTATTTCCTAATTTTAAATAAAACAATACTAAAATAACACAAGACAAAATTCTATGCAGTAATTGGATAAATTAGATCATGTAAAAAAATACAATTTAATGTCACAATTATGCAAAAATTGCATGATCCCTTTAATAATATTAGTAGAGTAATTCTATAATAAGACTGATTCATTACAGAACAGCTCAAAAAATCTAAACTACCTAATTCTGGGTTTATCTGTTTAAACGATTTTGATTGGTCATCAAAAAACGTGACCAAGAGTATAAAAAAATAACTACCCAGTATTGCCTAAAAAATGGTGCAGTCACGTGAAATTTTTGTGGTGTGAACAAATTAGATTTCAAGATTAGGTGTAATGTTACATGATCAGAAAGATTCAAAACAAACATTCGCTTTGTCAAAAATCGCTTGTTTCTCAAAAAGTAGAAAAGAAACCACCTTTAGTGCTTTAACAAAAAGTTTTCCTTGAGCAATTTTACCCATAGCTCTCACTCACCCTAACCCTAACCTAAATGAACTTTAAAGAATTTTTTGATTCTCATGTGACTGCACTTTTTTCTGGCGATACTGGGGAAGATATAAAAAAATATTATGTTCATCATAATGATGTGTGATAGTGACGACAAAATTATGTTATGACTGCTTTGAATTTTGGGTTTGTACTTAACCATTTTTGATTAGCAGCATCCAAAAATGTGAACAAATTGTGGAAAAATTTTTGATCAGCCTAATGAATTTTATTTTAAAAAATTGTAATTATTGTGGCATTGTTCATTTGAATGATTAATTAGTGAAAATCATATTTTTATAATCATCCTGTAAATTATCATAATTATTCAATAAATAATTTTCAATTCTTTTATTTTAATGAGAGAATGTACAATTAACTATAATTATTTAAATATTCAAATAAATTACCAGGGTGAGTTCGAAGTTTGATTCAATTCACTTTAACAATTATGTTTCAAAATATTGAATAACTATAATCATTAATCATTCAATAAATTTCAAAAGTTTAATTCAATTTACTTTAATGATTGTGCTTCAAAAGAATGTGTAATTAACTATAATTATTTAATCTTTCAAATAAATTACCAGGGTGAGTATAAGTTTAATTCAGTTTGCTTTAACAAATATGTTTCAAGATATTAATTAACTATAATCATTTAATATTAAATAAAGTACCAGGGTGAGTATAAATTTAATTCAATTCACTTTAACGATTGTGGTTCAAAAAATAGATTAACCGCAATTATTCAATTATTCAAATAAATTATTAGGGTGAGAACAAAGTTTAGTAAGATTCGCTTTAATGATTGTATTTCAAAACATTAATTATTCAATTGTTCAAATAAATTACAAAGGTGAGTACAAAGTTTAATTAATTCACTTTAATGATTGCATTTCAAAACATTGATTATTCAATTATTCAAATAAATTACCAGGGTAAGAATAAAATTTAATTTGATTCACTTTAACAATTGTGTTTAAGAGAATGTGTAATTAACTATAATTATTTAATAGTTCAAATAAATTACCAGGGTGAGTATAAAGTTTATTTAAATTTGTTTTAATGATTGTGTTTTATAATATTGATTACTTGTAATTATTCAATTATTCAACAAATTACAAAGGTGAGTAGAATTTTAATTCAATTTATTTTAATGATTGTGCTTCAAGAGAATGTGTAATTAACTATAATTATTTAATTGTTCAAATAAATTACCAGAGTGAATATAA